AGACAACCTCTCGTCAATATGCGTTTTTCGCATTGCATTGCTGCAAAAAACGCATAAAAAGTATTTGGTGCATCAGCAAGAACTGTCCCAGAACGTCCGAGTCACTGAAAAAAAGTCCGCATGCCTAACAAATAGCTATATGAGGCAGGAAAACAGCAATACGAATTAAACCACGGAGTTGTTTAATTCGTATATAGCTGCTTGCGAAAAACAGCTGCAGTACTTCTGCTCCAGTACTCCATAAAAGTAGGCTTCGCAGCATAACTATGATCGAAGAAGAGAAAATATTACAAAGAAAACACAAAAAAATTTTCACAATCAAAGCTTAGAGGAGAAAAGCCAGCCAATAATGAATCTCACACAGTCGTCGAAATGATTTAGAAATTTTAATTGGAAAAATTTAATAACTTTGACGATCTAGAAAAAACAGGAATTCCAAGGGCAATCGACGTGCGAGTATCCCATATTAGTGGTGTTACAAGGATGCTGCGTAAGCAACTGTGCCGGGTTCTCAAACAAACTGTTGGAGCAACCGTTAAACAAACTGCTAAACCAAGCTTATTTAAGCTACCTGGTGCCAATCATTCTGTGATGCTACTGGGATTTTCCTCAGTGCTGCATAAAATCTATTCCAGAATCTTTAGTTCTGAGCTACTCCAGTTTGCATCACCGCCTACTCGATGTTTGACGCTAACTCTTCGAAGGTCGCCCAAGTAGCCACTCACTTTTTCGCGGTTACTGTTTATTGATGCCCCACGCCCAGTGGTTAACAAAGCAAACAGCATATTTTGCCCATCGCATTTTACTGCCTGCGAATCACTTATTTGATGCAGATTCCCCCAACATTCCTTTGTTTTTCTCCAGTGCCGAGCAAAATCGTTTTATCATCTTCCCAGATGGCAAGATGTTTTATTTTTTGGCGTGTTTCATACGTACCGGCAACGTCGCATGATGTTCCATCGGATTTTTGGAGGCGATTGTGAGTTCATCTCTTAACAAATCTAGGCAGTTGAAGTGTATGTCCCGAGGTCTAGACCGCTTCGTAAACTTCAACTAACAATTTAAAATCTTTAGAAAAAATGAAACTCACAAATACTTGGAAGACCCCGAGGGAAGGCTTATACAGGCTATCCGGCACCCAAAAAAGTAGCTGATATAGCTGCACTCGATGTACTTGTGCAAGCCAGAAACATCAATGGCGACTGATGACGTAGATTTGTAGTTTTTGTTATTAAGGTAATAATACTGGAAATGAAATGCCCGCGAAAACTGCTTTGGACGGGCATACCGCTAAAACCTCACTTCTCAAGAAATTTCAATCAACAGCTCCCGCAACTGTTTCCAGTGCAATACACACCAACGCATTTTTTCTCAAATTTTTGCACAATGAAAATCATGGAGATATTATGATACGTAAAAATATATACAGAATTATGTAAAATTACATCAAATTATATGAATAGGAAAATTTCGATCCATTAAGTCGTAAAAAAGGGATCCCATAATTTAAAACAATTTCTACGGATGTAAGCATGAAAGTAAATTTTACAGATGAAAACTTACGTGTGCTTCCTTTATGTTTTCCATAAACCACACCTGCAGCAGGGCCCATACTGTGTGTACCACTCTTTACCGCATTCTTCTGCAAGCAGAGCAGCTGAGCTCCTATCAGAAAAATGACAAAACGTACAGCGTGACAGGACTCACATTCGGATTACAATAACGAAATTGTGACCGATGAAATATTATTCGGAGATAGGACTCTCCACAAAACACATCACTGACGAAAGTTGAAGAGTAAACACCTGTTGTGACAGACAAAACAATGGTTTCTCCGTAGAAGTCACATCCCTCATCAGATGAGCGATATGCAAGAAAACACTGCGACCATGCATGTTACTCGCCTTGCCGACAACCGCTTAATACTGTGCACTGGTAAATCTTAAGAAAACGACCGTAGGCATCAACGGGTAACATAAACGGACAGAAAAAGCAGCGGATAGTGGCTGGAAGTATCTAGTACAGGACCCAATAGCCTGGTATAACTACATTCGATGGAAAGATCATCGCAGAATCATCGTTAATTTGAGACGCCTACAATAACTGTTCAAACTGTATGGACATTTCTGATACACACATCCTACCTGGCACCTAACACTGCTAACAGTTGTGCTATTTCTCGTATACTAAATACGAAGAGCTAAAATGCTGATGGTCGCTTTTTTTCGTGTTCTCGATACCAACGGATTTTCGCGCAAAACGCTGTTAGACAAGCGAATATCACCAATCATCATCTTTTTTATTCATAAAAGCCCATGCACTAAGACCACATGCCACACATCCGAAATTACAACAATTCAGAAGATGAGGAAATTCTGATCGATCGTATTTGGACGTGACTGCTAAGTCAAGACATAGCCAAGGTCTTCTAAATGTTTAGGCGCACGCCACTGCCTCCAAGCCATGTTCCTCCTAATGCTCTTGTGCATCATGACTTCGAGTGTATTCCGCCTGTCTGAATTACTCTCAGATTCGTAATACATTGACGAAAGCTTCTTTCGGGATCTGCACTCTGCCAATCTGTTTCATCCTTTCCTTACCCGCCTTTTGCTCTGATAGTTTCTTGCAAAACCGTTCCCAGCTGCCACCTGTAACAGATAACAATCATTAGTCAGCGCATCGGATGCCGGTGCGAAGATGCGCTTTTTTGCACAGTTCCCCGCGGGTTTTTGTTACTAACGACACTATTTATCCCGGCAAATGCTTCTAGCTAAAAGAATTGAGACTGTCCACCATGAATGCCTGAAATTATTACAGTAACTTCCAATCCTTGCTCAAATATTTCAGCACTCCAGATGCTCTAATTAGGGAGTTACGCCAAATCTCACGTGTTCGTACGTTACGTCAAATCTCACGTGTTCTTACGTTACGTCAGATCTCAAGTGTTCGTACACCTGCATAAAACATTAGCACGTATGTAGTATCGCTTTTGAATATACCAACCAAAATTTATAGCTTTTTATTTCATCCTGTTTCTACGCAGAAAATTTTCTGCCAGAACTCTCAAGTGCCCGAACGCAAGGCTCAAGCAAACACGATAGCTAAATTCTGGTGTCCCAAAAAAAAAAAATGTGCTCTTGCAGTTTCTATTTCTAGCCTTCGGCCCCAAATTAGTGATTTTCCTTTCAAAACTTTCTCGTGCCCATGAGATTAGAAGTACATGGTAGTAAAATTTGCGAGCTGCATATGAGCAGAACAGATCCCCCTAAAATCCCAAATACCGAGTTCTAGAGTCGAAAACACCGGACAAAACGCACCCAGAACATACAATTGTCTCAGTACAAAACGCAGAAAAATGATTTTTACGACAAAAATTATTTGAAAAGCAACGAAAAACGGGAGGAACAGTATCAAAAATTAAATAATTCTTGCTAACACAGACAGGAAATGATCGAAATGAGAAATGCACACCTCCGAAATTGCCTTTCAGTCGCCCTGTGAAATCTTTCTTCATTGGTGCAATGACAGTTTCTGCAATAGTCTTCTTTGATTGCCCCATTGTTGCCTTAATTCGTACTTCAAACTGTTGCCGGGGTATTTCCTTAAAAAGAATAGTTTTATGGTCTTACGCTCAGCAAAATCATATATCTTAATTGGTCCAATAACGTATAAAATATTTCAGAAGAGAGGAAATGTCCACCTATCCATTAGAACTTCGACCGCGTGAGGAAGAGAAGGGGAAGAGTCCGTGTGGGAAGGAAAAATTGAGTTAAGAAGCAAAAAATTTAAATCAAGGATCACAAAACTTATTTAAAAAAAGCAATATACTACCAGCAGAGCCTGGAATTTAATCAAAAGGCAGCAAACTTAGTAGAACTCCAAACTACTTTAAAATCAGATAATACGGACCAAAAGCGCTAGATAAAATTTGTAGATAAAATTCACCACGCCAGATAAAATATTGCTATAGATAAAATTAGAATAAAATATATTATGATAAAATATTAAAATAAAATAAAATCTGATAACATAAAATTTAAAATAAAATATGGAATTGCTACATTCGCTAGAAATTTGCTATATTAGATAAAATATTGCCAAATAAAATTAGCTATATTCAACCACGCTCTAAGCTTAAAGTATGATGCTGCTAAGTTTGCGTACAACAAATCAACCAAAAAATCCATGGACCTCTTACGCGTAAAGCTCACCTCATGCAACTTCCTAACAATAAATTTAGCTCTTTCATGTCACGTAACGAAACTATTATTACTACTCTATATAATAATAGCAATAATAACAACAACAACGAAAATAATGAAAGCAATAATAATAACAACAATGTTAGTAATATTGTGAGGCATAGAACCCACCTCACGCAGCTTTCGCACAATCAGTTTAGCCCTTTCCTTCATAACACGTAATGGAACTATTTGCGAGAATTCGTCGACGGGTCGATCGTTGATTTGGATAACAAGTAAATCAATTTCTGCTCGTTCATAACCATCCGGCTGGTAATTATATGTTGCGTAGCCACTGCAACACTGAATTATCAAAGAGATACAGAAACCCCGTTGGATCAACACAGTGGCAAAAAGAGCTGGCGTAATTTCAAATTATGAAAATCTTAAATGGCTCACGCCAAACGGCTTTTCTGAGAAGCAGGCAGCAGCTTCAAGATGCTTCTAAAAGAGCAGGAAAAAGTGAATTTGAGACTAGTACTTTACTGTATCTGATTACTGCTGTTGAAAGCACGCGATTTCTCTTAAATGGCGCGTTATTGGCTTTGTTGGCAAAGGCCGAATATCATATCATCAGACATATTCGGTGATAATCGAGCATTTACAGATTTGACAGTTACGATTCAAATCCGGCCCCACGCGTTTCTCATGCTGCCACTAGCCAGTATTTATCATATGAATTTGGTACAATTAATTCAGCTGTTGCCGAGAAACCGCTGACCAAACATTAAATTTGTTCATCGCTTCTTCCTATTTGCACGCTAGCTGTTCTGCACTAACAATTTGCTGGCAGCTTTTATCGGTCCCTTTCAACTTTTTCATAAATCACAAACATACACAGATACATAGAAACAGGTGTACACAAACACACACGCACACACATACACACACACTACATAAGCGTACATACAAAGACAGCATTATCTGCGCTGCTACGTCGTATATGACTGGACAGAGTATAATAATTGGCCAACGCGCGGGCTGCCCGTGCGGAGATGCGTTTTTTGCATAGTTCTTCGCAGTTTTTGTCGCTACCGACACTGGTTTTTTCGGTAAATGCTTCTAGCTAAATAAAGACTGGTCGCTAGAACTGTCAGGAAACACCCCTTTAAAATTTCAGCTTTCTAGCTTTTCTGGCTCCTGAGTTAGCAATATACTGGAAAAAACTTCACGGGCCCGTACATAGGTACCACGCATACCCGATGTCTGGGTTTGAGCTCGTTGAGACTTACATAGACGGGAAGTATCCTCTTAAAACTACAGTTTTCTAACTCTTGAGGTTCTCAAGTTAGCAACTTATACGAGAAAAACTTTGGTGAGTCCGTGCGCGGGTACTACGTGCACGCGGAGTCTGGGTTTGAGTCCGAATAAGACTTAGGTGAACGGGGAGTATCCTCTTAAAATTACAGTCCATTAGCTTTTCAAATCTCCGAGTTATTAAATTACTCGAAAAAAAAGTTTCATGGGCCCGCACGTGGGCACCACGCTTGCCTGGGGACTGGGTTTGAGCTCATCAATCTCTACTTGGGCGGGAGATATCTCCTTAAGATTTCAGCTTTCAAGCTTCTCAGATCCTCGAGTTATGAATATACCCAAAAAAAATTTGGCGGGCTCGTATGCAGGTACCGCGCAGGCGATGGCGCTCATTTTGGGGATTGGGGCCGACACGTGCATGTAGATTAATTTCCCAAAATTTCAGCCCAGCAATTTTTATAGGACTTGAGATGAAAGTGCGTGACAGACGCACGCACAGACACACAGACAACCCCTCGTCAATATGCGCTTTTGCATTGCATAGCTGCAAAAAACGTATGAAAAAACCGAAGCCTTACTGGAGCCGTCACATTTAGGCTACAGAAAGTAGATGCCTGTCAAGAACAAAAAAGAAAGGCTCTGATAATATTTCACTCCCTAAAAGGAGAGGCACTCGGAAGCAGTTAAAGGCGCACTCGGTGGTAAGGTATCGCTGGAGCCTCTCTGGAAAAACTGCTTAAGAAAAAGCTGATGCCCTCTGTTTACCTTCCTTCTGCTCCAGTCAATGCAGTATCTAACAGCCAGCTTACAATACTTGAGAAAAACCTCAACGAAACAGTAGTATTTTTCACGAATACAAAAAGTTAAACAGCTGCATTGACGCGATGCGAGCAAACAAACCTCGTAATTCGCTTCAATCGCTCGAAGAAATCCCCACACACTTCGGCAAAAGGTAATTTCCATTGCTGCATACTGCTTTCCGTATCCATCGCACTCCAATCAACTGAAAAGCTAAATAGCTAAAATACATAATTCTACCAGGGGTAAAGCTACCACAATACTATCGCATAAAATAGTTAATTTCTCGGAAATTTCGACTCCATCTACAATGGTGATCTTGTAATCCTATTGTAAAGCGAGCTGGCAACACTGTGTAACTGACGCAAGCCAAGTTCATCTCGAATTTTTATAGAAACAATTGCTACCAACAAACACTCTGTGTTGTCCTCTTGCTAATCTACCACCAGCATCGTTTCTTTTGTCAATATTTTACCTGCTAACGCGTCTTTCTTCACTTTTTCTCCCCGCCTTAATTCTGCGTTAAATACTTCTACAACGATCATGAATTAAATTTGACGATGAACGTGTTGTTCTAGCTCAGCATGGTCATGGTTTGAATCTCAGTATGCCTCAACACTGCCTAGTCTGTTGCTGCTCTATGCTGCAACTAGGCATCTAAATATAAATTCCACAGAAGAAGCAAATGTTGCAATTAACGTAGTGTGCAATACTCATCAGTACGCTAATCTGTGGAAAAATCGATAATTTATGCCACGAATTACATGAAACTGGGGTCTTCTCTCTTTTTCCTTACCAATTTTTACGTCATAAAGTCAGTGCTTCACAGTAAATTTGTCAGGATGAAGTAAGAATTGCATATTCTGAAGCTGGTAAATAAATTTCGAAGGCTGATCTCATAGCTGATCGTGAGCTACGAAGTAGCCAGGCCTAGAAAACCAAAATACGATATTGTAGTGCCAGAACAAAAAATAAAAAAGAGATACCTCTTTCTCCGCGAGCCTCAGTGCATAATTTGTCCACTTCCGGCGCATATTGATTGGGTATCAAAATTGTCAGCTTGATAACTGGCTCCAGGAAATGATCAATGTCAGAAGGATACTTCGGGAAATGACTCGCGTCTAGCAAGCGAATAATGCGTTCGCCGTTATATCTACAATAGAAGAAATTTCGTGGAAGAAAACAAACGCGCTTTACAGACAGCGCAAGAAAATAAGTGCATATTTATCAGTGTTTGAAGACACGAAGCGTGAACCTTTTTTTTAGAATTGTGGGATTGTCTTTGATGACAGCGCGAAATTCGATGCTC